CCTTTTTAATTTTGAAATTTCTTCTAATAATTCTTCTTTGTCTTGTCTAGAAAGCTCGATGGTGTTATTTAACTCTTTTTCAAGAAATCGTATTCTCTCTTCCCATATGCCAATAATTCTTTTTAAGGTATATAGACATTTTTCAAAATTCCTATTTGATTCTGCCAATTGGGATACTATCTCATAGAGTTCTTGGTTACTTTGTTGTAATTCCTCCATATTTTTTTTTTACTATTATCGAATAAACTAATTAGAAAGCCGGTTATTTATATCAATCCAAATGAGGCTCATAGTATAGAACGGAATCTTATTCTACAAGAGATATATTATCAACCTACTGGATATTTTTCTAACCCTAAATCCTTAAGAGATGCTTGTAAGAAAGAGGTGCATCAATTTTGGCTAAGTGAATGCAAAGATTTTTTGGAATGCTAGCAATCGTACCAAATCTATATGCCTCCACCTAAATATATTCCTAGAATCAGTTATGGAAAAATAACACGACCAAATTGTGTACATCAGTGTGATATATTATTTCTTACCCATGATCATTACAGAGGTAAAACCTATAAAGCTTAATATAATAGACTGCGCTTCCAGATATAAAGCTTCTGTTCCACTTACATCTAAGAATAGTTTAGAGATTGCTAGAGCATTCAGAAAAATATATAGAGATCGAAATAACCCATTGACATGGCCAAAGCTTCTACAATGCAATAGTGGTTGTGAATTTATGGGTGAGACTTCTCGACTAATGCAGGAGCACAATGTTATAATTCGAGTAATAGGACTCTATAGTTATAGAGGTCTTGCAATAATAGAACGTTTCAATAAGACAGAAGAGGACATGCTCTATAAGATTCAGTATGCTATTGAGTCTATATCTTCTGATCCAAGATTAATAAGAGCATGGGTTAGACATTTACCAAAAGTTGTTGATTACCTAAACAATTATCCCACACGCCTTATTAGAGAACCAGGTTCTTCAAAATGGGGATTAGCGCCTTTAGAAGCTATTTCATTGGGAGAGGTCGAATCTAAGCCATCAATATCATCGAAGCGACTCATTGGTAAGGATGAAATAGCATTAAAAAAGGTGATTCTGTTCGCTATTTTTTTGCCAATGCTGAATGGGAAGGTGGGATGGAAGCAGTGCATAGGAGCACTGATTCATACTGGAGTCCAAGTATTCACAAAATTCGAAAAATTGTAGTATCTAAAAATGAACCAGTTTTATATTATCTCGGGAGTAATGATGATGAATTTGCTCCAAAACGGGGATTTATATGAGAGGAACTCATGCATTTGACTCATGACCCTGAGCTTCCCCCTCAAAGTATATTATCCGTACATACTGTATATGCTTCTCCTACCAATAATGAGATAATTCAAGCTAAAAATTATGCTAGTCAACGTGGTGGAATTTGTCTTGGAAAAATTGGCCAGATATATGGACACGGTATCTATCTCTGGTGCACATCAATGGAAGTATCCATCAAAATATATAATGAAAAAATTCGAATAGTGTCCTCTATGCCACCATTCAAGCAGTGAACGTCAATGCCGATATATTTTTGAGGATTTGTTAAGCAAAAAATTCCCACCATGTAGGGCTAAGTTCTTAGATGGGCTACACTTGGATGGATATAATGAGGAATTGCGTCTTGCATTCGAATTCTAGGGTCCTCAACACTATCATCATAATAGTTTCTATCACCGGGAGAATGAAAATCTAAAATCACAAAATATGCGCGATCAAAAGAAGCGGGATATATGCAAGGACCAAGATATATGCCTTATCGAAGTGCTATACACATGTGACCTTTTGCCTTTCATTAGACATATGCTAATTGAGAAAGGGTTTTTGGATAAAGCGAAGGATTAAAAAAAAATTATTTTTTAGTATATCGTTATTAATACTTAATTTGATATGAAAATAAAAAAGCTTGAGCCAGTTAATAGACTCATATACCACATTAACGAGATTAAAAATGCTCAAAAATATAATGGCCATTCTAGTACGCCTCAATGGTCTTTCACTCTTCTAATTTCAGGTCATATTAATTCAGGGAAAACTAATGAAGTTCTTAATCTTATGCTTGGAAATAAGCTTTATCAGATGTTTAATGGAAAGAAAGATGGAAGCAGATATATTAAGAATAATGATTTGCTATTAATCGGCCACCAACTCAAGGAGCCAAAATATTTGTATCTCAAATCGGCCTATCAAATAATTGCTAATAGCCCAAAGCCATATCGTGAAAATATTTCATTTCAAGCTTTGAAGCCTGATAAAATCCCTAAGATAGATTCATTTTCTCCAGATAGGGGTACAGTAACTATATTCGAAGATATATGTGCTGATCCAAAGAAAGTGCAGGAGAAGATCATCTCTTATTTTGTTGAGGGGCGCCACTACAATGTTAGTTTAATATATGTATCCCAGAGCTACTTTGATTGCCCAAAGATAATACGAAAAAATCTCACACATGTCTGCCTATTTAATGGGTTCTGCACTACGGACGAGCTAGTCAAAATTGTGCGTTAATGTGCTAATGACTGGCGTAGTGTGATTAAGATTATTGATAAGGCATTATGTGAGAAAAAATTCATTGTTTTCGATTTAACTGTATCTCGAGAGCATCTACACAGAGTACGTCTTGGCTGGGACCAAATTTTGGAAAAAAAATGCCTCAGCTAATTCATAATTTCAATGATGGTCCTGTATAAATTTGAATAATGATAATTTCCATTAATTAATATAAATATTAAAGAAGAATAGCTAGAGAAAAAAAGAGAATAATTAAATCAGACAAAGCTAAGTGGTAATGGCTAAGAAATCGAGAAATAATCAGCGCAAGACAATGGGTAAGTTTACTACTTGCCCTACACAGCACATGCCACTATGTAATCCAGATAAATATGTGCATATATATAATTAGACAACTGATTTTATCATTGTTAAAAATATAAAACAAGACAGGGTCGTAGGCGTGTTCGATTACTCTGAATTATGTGAATATCTGGGAATAGCAAATCCATTAAAAAACGTTCATAGAATATTTTAACAATTACTGTGCCCTGGTGACATAGTGTCTCACCTCGGCAACTAGAAAAATTGATATGTGGTCTCGATAGTTGTCTACCGTTTTTCTAATGCTATTCTTGAGATCACAATTGGGAAATATAATTTATACATTAGTATTTACTTGCAATATATACAAAAAAGAAATAAAAATTTATGAAGTGTATATTAATAATTACTTACATTTTTTTCGTTTTTAGCTATATACAAATTTGAATCATGATATTTCTTGATATAGGGTGATAAAGAATCGCTAAAAACACTATAAATTGCTAAAAACGCTATAAATCGACAAAAAACTAATTAGTTAATAAATATGATTAATACAATCATTATTGATAAAATTTATAATAAATCTGTACCCAAACCTGTTAATCTTCATCCAGGATATAATTTGGACTATGTAATAAAGGGTTTAGTACAAGGTAATTGTTATAACTATAACCGTGTTGAAAATATGTGTAAAATAGAAAAAAAGTATGATGACTTAGCTATTATTAGACCCCACAAAACACCTTAACAGTGGGCTATTTGTATAAAAGATGATTTGCAAGCGTTATACTCTAGAGAAAGATCTAGTATTTATCACGTATACTGCCTTTTTGGTTTATTTGGACAGGGAAGCATTAGGACATACCTTGAAAATCACAGGCCGAAAATAGAGCATATCAGCTATCGAAGACCTAAAGTTCATAAAAGTTAAATAGCTCTATGCTTCAAATGCTGGCAATTGGTAAAGATTACTGAAGTAGAGCCAAAAAAGGTATATTGGGATAGATAGTATAGATTGGGCTATGAGGTTAAATCTAAGGATTTGATGCAATATCATTGGAATAATAAATGCTTTAAAATGCAAGATGGAAGTACACAGATTATCCAAAAAGCTTATCAAGATATTGTGCCAATCGAGTCTATAAAAATTAAAAGCTTTACGCCTAGTTTGATTAATAAGCCATGTTTATTGACTCCTCCGCCATTACCGCCAAAGCCTTTTGCATTAATGGGCGATCTCTCAAAATACTTTTGTAAACATAGTGTAAGTGTACTCAAGATTAAAAATCTTTGGAGTGATCAATTAAATATGCCTAATATTTCTAGCAGGACTAGTTTGGGCCATGTTGCTG